TTGATGACCGAATGTCCAAGCCAGCTTACACGCAGCTCAACTAATCCCAGGACTCCTGCAAAGCGCCCCCTCTACGTGAATCGGGCAAATCTCAAGCAGAACCTACAGGCGTGGCCCCAAGAAGCAAATTGCTCCAAATGGGAGTTGAACCTGAGACTTAAAGAGAGCACACCCTTAGGCCCCAAGTTGTACCCACTAGGCCAACCCCTTGGAGTTGATACACTAAACGTCCTTTTGCTCATGTCTAGCATAGAGCTCTCCATTGCCACCCTCTCTCTATGCTAAGGCTGCCTTGGATCTCTCCTCTTCCACCTTCAGTGGTCTCTAACCCATCTGAACGTCTGCCATTTTCCCAATTCACCTCCCACAATCACAATGTGAATGACTATATAAATTTCAATATGTTTAATTAATCAAAACTCCGCCGGGGTTGTTAACAACTCCGTTGGTCCCAAGCCCAGGTTAAGGAGGAGGGTTGTGTGTTAGGTAACCGACAGCCAATACGTAAAAAAGCTGCTCGGATCCCTTATGACAATGAATCCTACTTTGAATTGTTTAAATGCTAGGTCGTTCCCCTCAAGTCACACGTTGCACTTGCCTCTGGGTGTTTCGAAAAGTAAGCAAGGGGTGCCGCATCAACGCCTGGGTGCAGTGAAAAATGGGCAAAGGTTCCCGCGCTTTTCTAGACGAGCGTGGGTAAAGAATTTAGTCTAAGACTATAGATTTAGGATAGCCACTTGGAATATAGAAACCTTAACTGGTAAGACGATGGAGTTGGTAGATGTTATGATTAGGAGGAGAGTTTGTATAACTTGCGTACAAGAAACTAAGTAGACAGGTGAGAAAACTAGGAAAATTGAGGATACCAGTTTTAAACTGTATTATAGTGGTAAAGATAGATGCAGGAATGGGGTAAGAATCTTAATTGCCAGGGGTCTTGTGGAGAATGTAGTGGCGGTCTTTAGGAAAGGAGATAGAATTATGTTAGTTAAACTAGTTATTGGAGGGAATATAGTGAACGTTATTAGTGCATACGTCCCTCAAGTAGGATTAGATGATCAGACTAAGAGGGACTTTTAGGAGCAAATGGATGATATCTTACAGGAGATACCCATAAGAGAGAACTTGGTTATAGGTGGAGATTTTAATGGCCATGTAGGCATAGATAAACTAGGCTATGAAATGGTGCATGGTGAATACGGTTTTGGTGACAGAAATGAGGCTGGAGAGAGTATGTTAGATTTTGCGTTGGCTTCTGACCTGGTGGTGGCCAATACTATGTATAAGAACAGGGAGGAACATTTGATAACCTTTAAGAATGGGTCAGTTAAGAGTCAAATAGAGTACTTCTTAGTGAGGAAAGTGGACTGTTTAAAATACAATGATTGTAAGGTGATTCCTGGAGAGAGCCTGACGTCTCAACATAGGATTTTGATACTAGATTTATGTTTTAGAAGGCAATACCAAGTTAGGAAGGATGGTGGACGTCATAGGACGAGATGGTGGGACCTAGAAGGGGATAAATTAGAAATATTTAAAAATAGAATGAATAAGGAAGGTACTTGGGACTTGGAAGATGATGCCAACAGTATGTGGAACTCGATGGCCAATTGTATGAGGAGAATCTCAAGGGAAGTGCTTGGAAAGTCAAAAGGAACGGGACCCAGCTCTAGGAAAACTTGGTGGTGGAGGGAAGAGGTTCAAGCGGTAGTGAAGGCAAAAAAAGAGTGCTTTAAAAAGTGACAAAATGATAGAACTGAAGAAAACCTTAAGAGCCATAAATTGGCTAATAAGGAGGTTAAGAAAGTAATGAGAGAGGCTAAGTTGAAAACTTATGAAGACCTATACACTAGACTAGATAGTAAGGAGGGAGAGAAAAAGGTATACAAACTTGCTAAGATACGGGAGAGGAAAACAAGAGATTTTAATCAAGTTAAGTGCATCAAAAGTGAGGATTCTAAGGTATTGGTGAGAGATGAAGAGATTAAGGAAAGATGAAAGAACTATTTTGAGAAACTATTAAATGAGGAACATGGTTGACTAGGTTGTTTAGGTTCTATCGCAGGATTCGGAACTTTGAAGTGGAAATTGTACTTAAGAAGATGAAATCAAATAAGACTTTAGGACCAGATGATATCCTTATTGAAGCTTGGAAGTGTTTGGGTAAAAAAGGGGATTGCTTGGTTGACTAGGTTGTTTAGCAAAATTTTGTTGACTAGGAACATGCCAAATGAGTGGAGGAAGAGTATTTTAGTGCCAATCTATAAGAATAAAGGTGATGTCCAGAATTGTAACAACTATAGAGGAATTAAGCTAATGTGTCATATAATGAAAGTGTGGGAGAGGGTGATGGAACGCCGATTGCGAGATATAATAGAGGTGTCAGAGAATCAATTTGGGTTTATGCCTGGCAGGTCAACAATGGAAGCGATCTATCTTTTGAGGAGAGTAACAGAAAAGTATAGA